AGAATAGAAAATATCGAGAGTAGAATAGAAAATATGGAGTAGAATAGAATAGGAGAATAATATAGAAAATATGAAGTAGAATAGAAAATATGGAGAATAGAAAAAATATGGAGTAGAAAATAGAATAGAAAATATGAAATAGAATAGAGACCTTCGAGGTCTTCTAGTCCAGCCCCCTGCTCAACACCATTTCAGATTAAGGTACTGTTTCTATTCTTAAAAACCCGGAATTCTAATCACGTGACCATGGGGATGCTGCAAAGGTCCTAACTGTGAAAAACGGCCATAAAGTCTTCTTTTTTTTTTCAGGGCCGGTGTAACTTTGAACGGTAATTAAGTGAATTGTTGTAAGTCGAGGACCGCCTGTATAAATAAATAAACCACATTTTTCTACAAGTTTTCTTCCGCTCCTTCGCCGGGGCTGGCAGGCAGCTGGCTGGGGGGTCCCTGCCTGCTGGAAGCCGCCTCAAAGAATTGGCTCTTGACCCCCTCCTCCATTTTTCTTGAAACACCCCCCCCCCCCCATTTTCCGTGAGGTAATTTTATTTTCCTCCCTCGTTGTTCTCCCTCTTTGTGGTTTCCAAGCGAGCCCAAATCGCTAAAACCGCCCAGAATCCTTCAGGTAAACTATCCGGCGGTTTAATAAACCGACAATATCACCTCACGTAGACCCCGGCGGGTTCCCTCACTCCTTCCTCCGCTCCCCGCCATGGTTTCCAAGAGCCAGGCAGGCATTCAACGGGTGGAGCTTTCCCTCCTTCCCTCCCTCCCCCCTCACGGCCCGGAAACTCGTCCCGGCAAGGCCTTCTGGCCTCCCTCCTCGCCTCCACACTCACCCGCCGGGTTTGGGGCGGCCGCGGCGCCAGCAGCCGCCCCGAAGTTGAAAGCCATGAGGCAGAGGCGAGACACGAGCAACACCAATACCAGCCCCCACCAACAGCCTCCAAAAGGTCCGGTCACTTTTACCGTCCGGGCGGAAACCGTGACTCCAGAGAAGGCCCGAAGGTGGACTATAGATCTACGATATTTTAGAATAGAGCTCGGTTTACACTTTCTGATTCTAAACTCTTTATATATAAAAGAGCTATGTCATAGAAATCCTTCGGCGTCGTCAGAGGTGACAGGCTCGATTCATGGTCGATTGAATTTCGGAAAGAGGAACGTGTTGAGGTATATACACTACATGCAAAAATCATTCCAGAGGTGGGACTCTCATTTTCTAGCTCTATGAACGACAACGGTCGTTCACCAGGGCATCAAAACTGGTTGCACAGTTTTGATGGTTGCTCCAGCAACTGGGCGGAGCGATTGGCCTCATCCGCGCGGGTGTTCGTGAGTGACGTCATCAGACAGGCATTATCCGAGATCCGAAATTGCAGAGCTGCTCATAACCCGGCTTCCTCAAAAGGGGAGCGCTGCGCCCCCTTCAGGATTGGAAGAGGATCGCGGATCTCGTCCTCTTACGCTTTCAATTTGCAGGCGGTCCTCAACTTACGACCGCAATTGAGCAGAGTTTCTGTTGTGAAACATTTCTTAAGTGAGCTTTCCCACATTTTAGGACCTTCGTTGCCACATTTGGCACGTGAATTGCTGCAGCTGTTAAGTTAGGGACGCGGTTGTTAAGAGAATCTGGCTTCCCCATTGACTTTGTGTCACGGCTCCAGCAAATCCACCCCCATTCAAATCAAAAGTCTCTAGCCGCATCTCAGAGAAAAGAAAATTGATTTATTAGAAGTGGCCATGTTGGCGCGTGGCTGGGTCCAGCCGATACTAAATTACATCATACATTTCCCCCTTGACCCTGGTCTTTCCCCCACCCCCTGGATGTGACTTCTCCAATGGGGCACATCCACCTCCAAGAGTCATCCATCATGCTCTCCAACAACCTTCTTACGCTCTGACAACTTTGGGCTGCCAAGATGATTATCTAGGCATTTAAGGAATGCCTTGTTTTCCTTTTTAGTTGACATTCAGCTCCCCTCACTTCCTGAAGGTGACCAGGGTCAAGGGGGAAATGTATGATGTAATTTAGTATAGGCTACACCCAGTTAAACGCCAACATGGCCACTTCTGATAAATCAATTTTCCACCCCCATTCTTCTGAGAAGGTCGTAAAAGGTGATCATGTGACCCCGAGACACTGCAACCATCATAAATATGCATCAGTTGCCAAGCGCCTGAATATTGATCACGTGACCCTGGGGAATGCTGCAATGGTTGTGTGAAAAACAATCACTTTTTTTCAGTGATGTCCCTTTAGTCATTAAATGAACTGTTGTAAGTCAAGGACTACCTGTATTGTATTGCTCCGTTTGTATGCATGCACGTTTATTTTTTAACTAGATGGTTACTTCTGAGTCATTTTAAGAATATTAACCATCAATGATCTTTCTTGAAATCTTAACTTAATCTTAATTTACTGGGATCTGCTTGGCACACACGCCGAATAGAATCTTCTAACAGAAGCAGTTGTAGAAAACTTCGCATTCTGCACCATTCAGAGCCTGTTCATAAATCACGCTGGTTATCTACCTTCCAAAACTAATGGTGAAGTGCAGAAGTCAATTTTTTTTTCATGTATGTGAAATAATATTTACGATGTGCATCATGCTTCTAGAAGTGCACTTATATTTGGGTTAGTTATGATTCAGTGTCAACATATGAGTCTTCCTCCCTCCCCTCATTTCATTCCTTATTTCCTTCCTCTCTCTCTTCTTCCTTATTTCCTTCCTTCCTCCCTCTCTTCCATTATTTCCCTCCTGTTCTGACCAAGGCTTCTTGAGACACCAACAAACATATAAAATTCCAAACTCTTTAATTTTAGTTCAATGACTGTGAATTCTCTTCATTCACAGCCCGGAAGGAGTTTCAACTGGTTATAGTCCCAGGAATGTCTGCCAAAGTTCTTCAGAAGAATTCTGATAAGAATGCACCTTACCTGACTTGATGTGCTGCCAACAACGAAAGTCCCAATTTGTCTTTCAAAACCAAAATGGAGAACAAATTGAACAGAGCTTTCAGAGTCCAAACTGATCAGAGCGAACGACGTTGCTTCCTGCAAAGGTTTCTCTGCCTTTGCACTTTCTTTATACCTTATGGGAGGGGCAATCATTTCCAAGCCTTACTCCCGAGTCACCCCTTTTGTCTTAGCTGCTCTTGCCTTCTAGCAGCTCTGTGCACATGCACACTGGGAACAGGCTCCCCTTGTTCCTCGGCCTCACTGCTGCCATATTCTGAAGGCTACGGAGTCAGCACATAACTCCCAGATGGTCCTGGCCCCATCTCTGCATCGGACACAGGACCCTCGACCGAGTCCTCTCCAGACTCCCTGACTAGTTCCCGTTCTTCCCCACTGTCCGATTCTGCTGCTGTCTGCACAGGCTGCCGGCAAACCACACCTCCTTCCACCCTCCATTATTTTCTTCCTTCCGTTATTTCCTTCCTCCCTTCTCTTCTTCCATTATTTCCTTCCTCTTCTTCCTATTATTTCCTTCCTTCATCCCGTTTCCCTCCCTCCCTCCCTCCCATTATTTCTCTCCCTCCCTTCCATTATTTCCATTCCTCCTTCTCTTCCGTTACTTCCCTCCTCCCTCCCTCATTTTCTTCCATTATTTCCTCCCTCCCCTTCCATAAATTTTTTCCTTCCTCTTCTTTCCTCTATTTCCTTCCTTCCTCTCTCTTCTTCCGTTATTTCCTTCCTTTCTCCCTCCCTCCTTCCTTTTTCTTCCTCCCTCTCTCCTTCCTTCTCCTCCCTTTCTTTCCTTCCTTCCTTCCCCCCAGCCCACCTGCGCATGAAATGCATTTCCTTGTTTTGGTCTTCCCCTTTAAGACACAAGAAAACAAAGAAACTAAAGAACAAAAACATATTTTACTCACTGCTTGGTATAGTTCCATCATGCCATAAAAGTGTGTTAGACTTCAGGGTGACACAAAACTGTTTTTAAGGCCAGCACTTGTCATTAACTCAGTAACACAACCTTGGAAAAGCAGCTATGGCACAATCTTAGCTTCCCATCTTCTAAAAGGGTTAATATTAGTGTATCTTGTGCAACTTGTAGAATACAGAGGGATCAGAAGCTTTTTTTTTTTTGAGTTAAGAGAAGCATTAGATAAATGTGACTTAAACCCAACCCTGTCCCTTACAACTGAACGAGGGCTCGAATCTTTCTAAAAGAGAGCAGTTCTATCTTGGTTTCAGCCCAAGATAGTGGGTCAATGCACACATCCCCACTTCTGCAGCTGCAGGGAAAATATTGGGATGTCCAGTTAGCTTACAAGGAACCTGCAGATTCCTGGGGACTTGGTGCGAGAGCCTCAACGTCGCTTACAAAATGTGCCCATCATTTCTAGATTTGTGCAAGAGAAGCCACTGGGCTTTAAGTATCAGCAGCGATTGGCTTTGTCCAGTTAAATTAGAAAAATATGTTCAGGAAAAGGCTTGTTTGGGGACTGGATCCTGAATTTATCCATCATCTTCAGCCACGGACAAATTTGCCAGTAATATTGGTTTCAAGAGTAAGAAGCCTTTATCCTTAGGTTTTGTTTTTTTTCTTAACAAGAAACCCCAAATCATCCATCAATTATAGCCAGCTATAAAAGATGCTTAAAATTAAACAAGCAACATTGCAAGCATGTTTAGTGTCTTGAGAATTGATTGCAGTTCCGACTTCATAAGCAGCTCATAGTTCTGTACTGAAATCCAGTTGTGGTTCTCCCTTTCAAATTGTCTTAAATTGAGTAATTTTTGAGTAGAGGAGAAACTAGCCCTTTGATTTATTACTAGCTATTGCAAAACCTTTGCATATTTAAAGCTGCTACCCGGAGAGTCAATTGCTAGTCCTACATCTGGCCACATCTACTTTTCAACATGTCAAACAAGAGACCAGCAATAGAAAAGAATATTTATAGCTTAAGGTTGAACTGTGGGGGTCTTTGGTGTTCTCTGAGCTTGGAGGGTTTTCTTGCAGATGTTTCACTACCCAACCAGCCAGTTGTATATAAACAGAGAGTAAAACCCACTCCCTTTAGCACTGATGAGGTTACCTAGTTGGGCAATGAAACGTCTCCAAGAAAACAGCCAAGTTCAAGGGAGCACTAAGGACCCCAAAGAGACTAACAGGCCAACTTTTCAGAAGACCGACCAATTTATTTTTGTAATTGTGACAAGAGAACTCTCCTTTGAAAGCAAGAGTGATTTCACTTTGCCTATAATCTGCAAGTTATATCAGTCCTAGGCTAAAAGCTATCCATGCAGAATAGGCCAGAACTCCACCATCTTGATCTACAGTATTGTGTAGTACAACTCCTGGGCTCCTAAGACTTCGATATATTCTTTTCTTTTTGCTTTTTTGTCTCTGCAAATATTCAAAACTGCCTCTCTCTTTTTTTGCAATCACTTGATGCACCTTAATCTGACATTTTCATTTCTGAGCCGAAAAAGGTTGATATTCAGATTTTAATCTAATTGGCAGAATTTGCCCAACCTCTGAGGAAACCACTGTCATCACCTGTCACAGGTTTGCAAACCGTGTGCCTCTAATCTCTTAGATTAATTCTACAATAGAGGGCACCTTCAACCTTGGTTAACTTCCCAGAACTCTGCCTGGCACAACTGGGGATGAAATGCCCAGGCTAAGGGACATTCGGTGGGATCCAGCAAAGCCATTTTTAAGATGAAGTTAAAGTAATACAGCAGGCACAGCAAAAGCCATGGGAATCCTTCCTAACCCAACAGGGTAATTTTAAGATTGCAAACTGAAGGAACCACTTCATTTCTAACAATAGGACATTTGGGGAACTGAGTATCGTGGTGAGACTTCAGGCAATAAAGTAATAGATACACTACAGAAAAGAAGCGGAGGAAAGGTATCAGGAACACGGCATCTCTTTTTCACTGCTTAGTTAGGAGGGAAAAAATAGTGTTCAATTTGAGCTTGACTCCTGGTGCCTTCATGGACATCCATGTT